TTTTCATGTAGGCCAGGGTTGCCCTGGTGTTGGCCGCTGCTGCACGCCATTTGGTGGCTTGAAATCAAGGGATTTGTTTTCTGGCAGTTCTGGGGATCAGTGGTCCTGATAGGGTGTTGCTAGGTGATGTCGCTGAGGCCTGGCCCTGGCCCAGGAGCTGCTGACTCTGTCCTATCCCTGTGTAGCAGCCATTCTGTCTCCGATGCCCCCTTCCTCCTCCCCGGCCAGTCCCCTGCCCCACCTCGGGACGCTGAACTCCAGCACAGTCAGCTGGGTGAGTCTCCCGGTCCCCCTGCCGCCATCACCTCTGCCACGAGGCCATGTGTGGGTGCTGTGGGTCATGTGCCGCCGGCTGCCTGCTCTTCCTGAGACGGGGGTGTGTGTCCTGGAGACGCATCGCTCCCAGCCGGACTTCCAGCATGTGCTGCTGTCCGAGCAGAGACAGCATCTGGGCTCAGTAGCCCCGTGGGGGATGCCCCTGCCCCTCCCTCCCCACCCCCTTTGTGTTCAGGGTCCCCCCGGAAAGTGCCACCTCTCATGTCCCTTGGAACAGAGAGGACTGTGGCCGCCTAGCTGCAAGTCCTCCAAGGCATCCAGAGAGAGGATGTTTGTGAAGACACCGAGGTACGGCCCAGCCCCTTCCTTTTGAAGGGCTGGCTCCCGCCCAGTTCTCAGGGCCTCGTGACCTGGTGGCCACCACCATGTGGCTTCTGTTGCCAGCTCCTGCAGGGACCTTGGTGGCTGTTTTAACTGATGGCTCTGAACTCCGGGCCAAGCTGCTGGCGCCCTGAGCACCAGAGTGGTCCCAACTCCTCTCCCTTCATAACTCGGGCCCTCAGAGGCCACTGTGTGCGACGCCACTGAAAACTATTTATTTAGATACTTTTAAATAGCATTTGACTCGTTTCCTATGCCTTTTTTAAAATAAATACACAACAGCTACGTGTCTTCCGGTGTGAGGGGAGCCTTTATCCTAGCATCCCCACCCACTGCCGTGGCTGCTCCTGGGAAAGCCGCCTGTGGAGGCTCGGTGGTGCTGTTCCCTTCCTGTCCAGGCCACGTGACCTTGCCCGGCAGCAGGCCCCACGCACATCCGTCCCAGCCACCATGATGGAAGGTGGGAACTGGAGCACGGATGTGCCCACCGGGCACGGGACACGCAGAGAGGGAGCCCGGGAAGCCAGGTCAGATGCGAGGAGGACAGCACGGGGCTGCCTACCCGGCCACCCCAACTTGCCACAACCCAGCGTGGCCCCACGCCCAAGGTCGCAGCACTTGGGAGTCCCACCCCCATCCAGTGCCAGCCACAGAGGAGGGAGCCTGTCTCCGGCACCCCGCGGTGGCTGGCTGTTGTGGGTGCTCATTTTAGTAGAAATGGAAATTACAACCAAGCGACTTGGTCAAAAGAAGAGCTTTCCCTGGAAGGTGGAAAGAGGGTGGGAGGTTGCAGCTCAGGGGGCTGCCTTCCAAGCCCAGGCCAGCTTCAAGGTCAGGCTGGTGGCTGGGGCCGCGCAGTCGCCCTTAGAGGAACCTGGGCTCGCCGCTGGAGCGCAGCTGACACCCCGGAGAGAGCAGGCGGAGACCCCTACACGGGAAGGGCTGACCAGCATACCCTGCAGAGCAGAATCAGGATTCAACCGGGGTCTGGCAGCGAAGGTACAAACCGGGGGTCCAGCTGGGTTCTGCTTTCGTTACCTCCTGGGCACCCACAGGCCCAGGAGACCCCAGCAGACCCCAGCTCACAGCGAGGTGGCTCCTACGTCCCTGGGTGCCCCGGAGGAGTGTGCTGGCTGCTTCATGAGTGGCAAGTCGAGCCCAGGATTCTCCCTGCTCCCCGCCCTGTGACGTCCCCGACTACGTCATGACTGCGCCCCATCACAGAGGATCGGAAACCCCTGGCCAGTGTTGCTGGTTCCCATCCTGAAGCTTTGGGTTCCCCCGGTGTCCGATGTGGCGATCTCACCTTCCTTCCGGGGGTTCTTAATATGTGACATTGGCTGGGCATGGTGGTGCACGCCTGTTATCCCAGCACTGCACTTGGAGCTGAGGCAGGAGGATGGCCGTGAGTTCGAGGACAGCCCGGGCTACATAGTGAGATCCTGTCTCAAAAATACCAAACCAGGGCCAGGAATTTAGCCCAGTGGTTCTGCCACCTACCTTGCAAGCTCAAGGTCCCGAGTTTGACCCCTGGTAGAAAAAAAAGCCAAACCCCAACACCAACACCAATTCAGACCTGGCATAATCCATGGTTTCATTGCTCTAAAGGCACCAATCACATTTGTGTCCAACTTGAAAAGGAGACTTTGCTGTACCTCTTGTCATCACCCTGCCTCAGTCCCCCAGCTGCAGACCCCAGGTCCAAGAGGCTGCAGGGTCCCACTCATAAGGGACCCAGCCCCACCTGTCCTCTATAGACCCAAAGGCAATGGGGCCCCAACCATGGACTGAAACCTCTGAAACTGAGCCAGCATCAACTTTTCCTCCTTATAGCAGTGTCTGTCTCAAGCATTTTGTCACAGTAATGGAAAACCAACACATGTGGTTAGCACACAGTTCATCCAAAAATCACGGGTCTAGTACATATTTTTGTAAATATAGCTAAAAATTATTTTCTTCAATAAATAGGTTTTTATCTGTAAAAATGGCTCATGGCTGGGGATTTAGCTCAGTGGCCCTGCACCTGCCTCACAAGCCCAAGGTCCTGAATTCAATCCCTGGTGGAAAAAAAAAAAAAAAAAAAAAAAAGCTCATGCCAGGCATGGTGGTGCACACCTATAATCCCAACACTCAGGAGGCTGAGGCAGGAGCAGTGTTCCAAATTATGGGCTACATAGTGAGTTCTAGGCCAACCTGAACCGCATAGTGAAACCCTGTCTCAAAACAAAACAAATACACAAAATAAAATAATGGCTCATCCAGGGATTTAACTCAGTGGTTCTGCCACCTGCCTCACAAGCTCAAGGTCCTGAGTTTGATCCCCGGTAGCAAAAAAATAAAATAAAATAAAATAAGGGTTCATGAGTCAGAGACTAAAACAGGAGTCAACATCAAATCTTAGACTTGGAGAGGATGGGTTATGGCTTATTCCTACCCCTCGCACCTGTATTTCCAGTTCCCCATCTGCTGCCCTCCTCTGCCAGCTTTGGCTTTATGAAGAGGGACAGACCAAGTGGAGATGCTGCCCTGACCCCCGGGCCTCTGCCCTGGTCCGTGCCCTGCAGCTCTGCTCCACAGAAGAGCAGCACAGAGGAGGAAGAGCCAGAAATTCAGCCCCTTAAAACTCACTGCACATCCTACATGGGGCACACACCCGTGATCCCAGCACTCTAGGAGGCTGAGGCAGACACATCCCAAGCTCAGGCCCAGCCTGGGCAACTTGGCAAGAGTCCACCTCAAGAACTAAAAAGTAAAAAGGCCCAAGGATGTAGCTTGGTGGTACAGCACCCCTGGGTTCAAGCTTCATAAGAAAAAAAACACAACGATAAAATTCAATAAAGATAAATAATACTTGAATACAGTATTTTTTAAAAGTCAAAATTAATGCCCCCCAAATCCACGATGAACAAAAATGACAAAATTTAAAATAAAGACAAGATCATCAGGAGGTTGTGGTGGAAAGATCCTTTGAGCTCAGGAGCTCCAGGCCAATCCAGGCAACACAGTAAAACCCAATCTAAAAAAAGCCAGGCAAGGGCTGGGGATTTAGCTCAGTGGTGTGGCTACCTGCCTCACAAAGGCAAGGACCCGAGTTCGATCCCCGCTACCAAAGGGGGGAAAAAATGCCAGGCATGGTGGCGAATGCCTGTAATCCCAGCACTCAGGAGGCTGAGGTAGGAGGATTTCCATGAGTCCAAGGCCTCCTTGTGATACATGGTGAGATCCTGTCTCCAAAAAACAAAAGTAAAATTGAAAAACAAACCCCACAAGTTTCGGGGGGGGCAGCCGTGCCTAGTTTGAGCACCACAATGTCCCTGACAACTGCAGTGCATTGGAGGCTGACAAAGGTGATCACGGGTCTGTGGTCCATGTTGCCACCTGCTGGACACATACTCCGGCGGGGACTGTGCACCTCCACTTGCGGTCTGGCAGGGAGCAGGGAGGTCCAGGAGGCCAAGCAGCGGCTCTGCTCCCCCAGGTGGTCACCTCCCTCCTCCCAAGTCTGCAGCCCTCACTGACCACAGGCCTGACCCAGTGTTGGGACTCCCTGCCAGCCCGACCCCACCTCAGGCCATCACCAGATCCTCACCGAAGGCAAGACGCAAAGCCAGCAGGGAGAAAGCCCGGGACAGCCAGGGCTGGCAGGCAGCGCCGCCCACCTGGCCTCTCCGGAGGGGCGGATGGGATACCAGTGAGCTCTGCTGGCCCCTACCTAACCCATCTGCCCGAGGAACAGGTGCGAACCTCCTCGCTCCTCGTCGAGACTGAGCAAAGCACCCCAGAAACGGTCCCCAGGAGAGGGTAGAGACCCAACGCCGGGCCTGGGCTGAGGACGGCCTGTCCCTCATGGCCTGTCCACACGAGCCCCCTGTGTCTTCCTAGAGATCTTTGTTTTCAGGAAACCCTGAGCAAGAGGGTAAAGGGGTACAGCAAGCAGGAGGAAACGTTACTTGTGGGGAATTAGAAGTCCTAGCGGCTTTTCTGGAGTCTGAAATTGTGTGAAAATAAAAAGTTGGGGCGCGTGGTGAAGCAGGCCTCTGTGGTCCCAGAGCCCGGGAGGCTGAGGGAGCAGGATCGCCGCGAGTTCGAGGCCAGCCTGGGACACAGTGAATTCGGGGTCAGCCTGAACTGCGTGGTGAGATCCTGTCTAGAAAAAAGAAAAAAAAATTTTTTTTAGTTGCCAATAGAACAAAGACAGGGCTGGGGATTTGCTCAGTGGCGCTGCACCTTCCTCACGAGCACAAGGTCCCAAGTTCCTTCCCTGGTACCAAAAGAACCCAAAAACCAGAAACCAAAGTCGTGAGGCCGGGGTTCCCTGCTTCGCCCTTCCCTCGCCCACTCGCTCATTTCGGCAGCGGTCCCGCCGCAGCGCCTGTCCCTCCGGCCTGCTTTGGACCCGGCTCCTGCGCTACCCGCAGCGGCCTGCACAGACTGCGGA